CTCGAGTTTCGACCAAGCAGGCACGGGGTAAATTTTTGACTTTTTGGAAAAAATGATAGAAAACCTATAATTAAGTATTGGGTATGAATTCTTTAGCATTTATTGATGTTGTTAAATCAATTTGGACTAGATACGAGTTATTTTGAGGCGATTTCTAAAGGAAAAGTGGTGTTTGAGGCTTGAGTTGGCCGTGGAAGTTTGAGGTAAGTGTTTGGTCTAACCTTAGCTTGAGGGATTAAGAGTTATGTCCTATTTGCTATGTGTTATTTGTTGAGTACGACGTATAGGCATGGTGACGAGTATCTATACGTTGGTGTCAAGCATGCCCATGAGTCTTAAATTAAAATCGTTGTGTTCTTAATAAGTACTACGAATGCCTAAGTTGTTGATTCTCTGTGTTGAGCAAGAATTGATTATTCTCGTGAAAATTGCTTATGGTTGAGTATTGGTGCTAGTTGAGGTTTCTTTTGTGAAGTTAAATGTTGGAATAAGTTTGATTATAGCTGATTCCCTTGCCGGGACGTATTTACTTATATTGTCGATTCCCTTGTCGGAATAGTGTTGTTTCCTTATTGTTCCCTTGCTGGGACTCTTTTATGATTGTTGTTGAATTGTATATTGGGATCGGGTTGCACGCCACAACAATATTATATTTGGATCGGGTTGCATACCCCAACAACATTATAATTGGATCGTATTGCATACCACAACAATTATAAATGATATGGATCGGATTGCACGCCACAATAGTATTTTTATGATTTGGATCGGGTTGCGCGCAACAACAATAAAATTGATTGGTTACGGTTTCCTTAGTCTTTCTGCCACATATTTTAAATTGTTCTTTATGCTTTTCTCCTGAGTTACTGTTGGTAAATGATATTCCCCCGCAGCATGTCCCCCCTCCCATCCTTAATTATATATTTCTATTTAATTTTCTGCTGTATATGATATAACTGTACATGTTTATTTGGTAGTTTGGTCCTAGCTTCGTCACTACTTCGTCGGGGTTAGACTACGCACTTACCAGCACATGGGGTCGGTTGTGCTGATGCTACACTTTGCACTGTGTGCAGATCCCGGAGCAGCAACATTCGGACCTTAGCTTGGGTGGCTGCCTTCAGTCCAGTCGGAGATTTCGAGGTAGTCTTGCAGGCATCCACAGGCCCTGGCGTCTCCCTCTATCCCTTCATTCTGTTTTATTTACATATTTCAAAAACAGTGTATTATTTATTTTCATACCTTGTTTGTAGTAATTCTAGAACATCTGTGGAGTTGTGACACCAGTTCTAGGTGGACTTTGTTTAAGATATTGTATTGGATATATATTCAAATGGTTTTATTGTTTCTTGTGCTTGTTTAAAACTCTAGTGTTTATAAGCTATTATTTCGTAATTGTTAAAGGGTTAAAAATGGGAAAAAGATAATTTGTTCAAACAGTTAGCTTGCTTTCATTAGTAGGCGTCATCACGACTCCCGAGGGTGAGAAATCCGGGTCATGACAGTAGACTTGTTAGGGTCAGATGGGATTTGGGCTTGGGTTTTGGGCTGGTTTGAAATTGGGTCTTTTCTAGGGCTATATTTTAAATACTCGATTAATTCAGTAAAACAATTTTATAAATGATAAAAATGTCATTTATGTGAGAAAATGTTTTAAAGTACTTACTTAATATTATAAAAATATGAAAAGTCATTTTCTGTATGGATAATACAATTTTGCATATATATAGGCTATTGTTGCAAAACTATATAATTCTAGCCTAAAAATGCAAATGTGATTGTAAAAATACAATTAAAATATTTAAATACTTATATGAGCATAAATGATAAATTTAGATGATTAAATCATCATAAAGTAATATGAGGGATAATTATTGAATATTTATATAATTAAAAATACATAAATAAATTGATTTAAGGCCTTTAAAAATTATAGAAAAATTGTAAAAATACGTGTGCATGTTTGTAAATGTATGTACAATATTTTGAAAGTATGTATGCATATTTAAAATATATGAGGAAAAAAATTGGGTATCAACAGTTTACACATAAGTGAACATCCGGCCAACTTTTCCAACTTAGACTTTCATTTAAGAGACTAAGTGTCTCAATTCATTCTGAAATCACTCCGAACCCGAACCAACTAACCCGGTAAGTCATAATGCAGTCGTAGAATACAAAACAAGCAGAAAATGGGGAAATGGGTCTACAACTCTCGAAACGACCGACCGGATCGTTACACTGCGACAAAAGTTGAACCGTGAACAACAGATGGCATACAATGTGATTATAGAAAGAATATCTTCGAACAGAGAAAGAGCTTTTTTTGTTGAAGTTCCTTGAGGAGCAGGTAAAACTTTTTTATATCGTGCCTTATTAGCTATTGTGCGATCTAAAGGATTTATTGCTCTAGCAACAGCAACCTCTGGAGTTGCGGCTTCGATTCTTCCAGGTGGCCGTACAACTCATTCCCGTTTTAAAATTCTCATTGACATTGATGAAAAATTTAGTTGCAGTATTAGAAAACAAAGTTCACTTGCTTGTTTGATTCGATATGCAAAACTAATTGTATGGGATAAAGTATCGATGGCAAAAAAGAAAATGATTGAAACTTTTGATCTACTTTTGAAAGATCTCTTGAATACTAATGTGATTTTTGGTGGTAAAGTTGTTGTCTTTGGTAGTGATTTTGGACAAACTCTACCAGTAGTTCGAAACAAAAAAAGAGAAGATATTATTCATGAAAGTTTATTATATTCTGAGATTTGGCCCTGACTTAAAAAATTGCAACTGTCAGAAAACATGCATGCAAAAACTAATCCAACCTTTTGTGAATATTTGATGAGAATAGGAAATAGAAAAGAACTTCTTACTTCGGAAAACAAAATTGAAATTTCAAATTCATTTATTGTCCCTTATACTACTGAACAAGAATCTTTGAATGCATTATTTGAAACAACATTTCCTAATATGCATGATTTCTTGTGTGATGCATCTTCTGTGGCTTCCTGTGTTATTTTGACAATGAAACATGATTTTGTAAATGAAATAAATGATATGCTTATAGCCAAATTTTCAAAAGAAGCTAAAACATTTGTTGCAATTGATGAAATATGTGTATCGAATGATCAAAGCGAGTATGAAGATTTTTTGCACTCATTAAATCCTGACGGTTTACCTCCTTACATATTAACTTTGAAAGAAAATTGTCCAATTATATTACTATAAAATTTGAATCCTTGTAAAGGTTTATGCAATGGCACAAGATTGACATGTTGTGATTTTAACACACATATTATTAGCGTAAAAATTGCAAGCGGTGACTTTAAAAATACACATGTGTTCATTCCGAGAATACCATTAATGTCATCAAAAGATAAAAAATCACCAATGCAGTTTAAAAGAACACAATTTCCAGTAAAATTGTGTTTTTCTATAACTATAAATAAAGCACAAGGTCAAACACTAAATTTTATTGGAATATATTTATGAGAACCAGTATTTTCACATGGCTAGCTTTATGTTGCACTGTCAAGAGAAAAAGCATCGAATTGTATCAAGATATTAATTCGGCCGAAAAACTCAGATAGTAATGATGATCATTCTACAAACAATATAATGTAAGATAAAATCATTCAGAAGGCTTTCTTGTGAATCTTTTACATGTTACTCTATAGCATATGCTGAACTAAACAGAGTTGGAACATGTACTTCGGAACTCCCAAAATAAAAATGACGCACGCAGTTAAAGCATATGTATCAGTTTCTACACACGATGGTGAAAGGTCATTTGTAGTTATACACGAGTTTGCCAAATAGGATATACAACAACATTTTTCTTCTCATATATCCATTGCTTTCAAATTGCTTCCAATCAAGTTGCTTAGATTTTATTTTAATTTTCATTCTCTGACTGTTCTTTCTGCTACCCCTTTTTGAAATTTTCTATAATTTGTTTAGTTTTCCCGGTGTACAATGGCTAAAGAATGTACTGCAAGTTCCTGAGATTCCTTTGAAAAGGAAGGATTGAAACTAACGGCTTAGGCTCTTTTATTCAATTACTGTCTTTTCCCCAAAAAGGAGTTCCCTCAATTCATTTGATATATTACACTATAAATACTTTATTTTTGCTACTGATAAATAAATATACTTTCGTTTTTGCTAGAATTTTTGTTCTTCTTTGAATTTTGGCTGCCTAGAAATGCTACTAATTCATGTAAAAGGTTTTCTAATTTGTCATTTGCAATTCTCTAAGAAGAGAGGTGAAAAAAATATTATTTTGACTATTATAATAATTTTCTCATCATTAACATTGTTGTTTAGTCTTAAAAATAATAATTAAATAGGACATATGATATACAAAGATACTAATAAGAGAAGTCTGGCCAGACAAGGCTATCTGCTGCTTCTGGATAATGAACCCGTAGTAACCTGAAAGTGCATGATGTCTGAGAAATATGCTTTGACCAAAAGCAATTTTTATCATATGGTTACAATTCCTTGGAAGCTACTGGACTTACTTTGCTGAATTTCAGGAACCAAAAAAAAAATGAAATAGAAAATGAAATCTCTAACTATCCAAATTAACTTTTTTAACAATGCTAAATGTTAGTTGAAATGGTACTCATTAACTTTTTGCTAAAAAAAAGATTGTCTTTTCATTCATAATCAGCATCTCCTTTATCATATTACTCTAAATTGTTGCTAAAGTTTCCTTTTTGTATATTTGCCCTACATGAACTTTTGTTGTACTGTGAAAGTTGATGAATTTTTATTGTACAATATTTTGGTCCAGTAGCTAACAACCATTATATTTACTTCTGAAAGGTCTCTTTCTCTTTCTCTTTACACTTTCACATTTCCTGCAGATTTCTCTTTCTCTTTTTTATTCTCTTTCGTTGGTGCTTTTTCCAACTCACACAATGTTCATGTGATTTCATTTTTTACAAATATCTTCTCTTGCTAAATAAAAATTTCACATTCTTTCAGGGTATGCAGATTCAGGGAATACAAGGACATAAAGGATGAATTTTTTATAGTATAACATGGATATGAAGAACAGTATGTCTTCAGAATCTTGGTTCACATCACTTTCTTGTTCTGCCTCCAGACTACAGTCTTCAGAGGATTTAGCAGTTGTTAAATGGTTAAGATTCATCTTCCTCTCTGTATGTCCGCAAAGGACTCTTCTATCTTCCACTGATGTGTTGCTTTTGCTTACTTTAATTGTGTATGAAGTACAAAGGTTGTACTCAAAGTTGTTTAGCCTTAGCTTCTGTAGTTTTATGCATTTTGGCAGCGGTTAACGTAACGAATGGTATTGATGAAAAGTAGAATTTTTCCAATACAATCCTTGGCAAGGATGCAAATTTTGAAACATGGATATTGCAGAAATCATATATGATGTTATGCATAATGAACTTATGTAGATGTCTCACTCAGTTGAGTATATAGTTATCAGCCATAACTATTGCAGTTTGTTCCATACAGGCTTAATATCGAAGTTTTTCATATAATGTCAGAAACGGGATGTAGAATCCTAACAATAGATTCATATAGAGTAAAAGCCGAAGCTTTAACAGTTGGACTTATCTCAAATTTTGTTATTGTGGAATGTTATTGCTTCTTTTATTTTGCTTATTGTTGCTTCTTGTAACAACTTTTCTAAAGAACTATTGCGCTTTGGTGTAAAAATCTTTAGTGTGTTTGAATTGATTGGATAATAATTGAATGCAGGTGTCGAGCAAAAGACATTGAAACACCAGTATTCCAGATATGTTGCTTCTGCACAGAAGGACAAGTGATATTTGGGTGGTACACTATAGGCAAAAAACTCCTTAGAGGCAGGACAAAAAGTTTTTTCTGCTCTTGATTGTTGAGGTATTGGTATATTTTCTAATTTAATTTCTAAAGTTAATCACCGATTGAACAATATTTTTCTATTCTTTTTTTAATCATTGTTGATGATTATCGTGAGTGAAACGTTTTCGGCGAAAAAAATACATTCTTTGAATAAGTCAAAGTTAATTTTTTCTATGTATATATACTATATATAAAATCCCCTTGATTTGTTTGTGTATTTATTTCTTTAAATTTAGACACCCCTGACTTCTCTACTAGTTATTATTGTTTACACCTATACATAATCTACAACTATATGCTTACCTATCAGTCAATTAGCAATTTTTTACCTCCTGCTAAATAATTTCTTGTTGTCTTTTGATTGAATTGCTACTCCATATTTGCTGCGATAGCTTTTAGCTTTTCTGAATTATCTTGTGATGTTAATACTCAGTCCCAGCCAATAATGGTTGAGAACCATGATCAAACTTATCCTGAACTCTCGGTGAACAAAGGGTTTATGTATCAATGCTTTTGTTTTCTTACTAGGATAGCACATGGGTGAAAGGAAATAAAAAATGACCTGCTACTTTCATGTGCTAGCACTTAAGATGGTATATGTTATAGACTCTTCCCATCATCATATCATAATTCCCGATTGCAATTTAAACATGCCGAAAAAGGGGTATCTTAAAACAGTACACACATGGTTTCTATTTATAACAACTGACTAAAGAAACATGTTCCTGGTTGAAATTTTTACTATGCAATAACCAAGGGTTAGCTTCTGTGGTTGCAAATCCTTGCTAAACCTTTATTGTTTTGAAAAAAAGAGTCAAGTATTTTGACGGGCAATATATAGATCAATTTTATATCTATTTGATTTTACTGTTTGTACGTTCTGTATAGTTTGTTCCATCTCTGTCTAATTATGTTGATCTGGCTTGTTTTTCTTTTCTTGCTTCAACGTTAATTGATAATCAAGATACATTTTCTTGCATCAATAGCATTAGGATCTTTCATTGCTATACTTCAGAACCTAATTTTGCTTTAATCTGAAGTTGGTCTTTCTTGTTTTAATTATTCATTTGGCAACATTTCTATCTAATCATTGTTATAAGACTAAACCTGTATGATGTTGTCCTAGTAGTAGTCACATAAACTTTGGAATAAGGAACTTTAACTACCAATGCTATGTAATAAGAATTAACACAATATTTTGTACCAATGAAGGATGGGACTGATACAATAATGCTTATATTTATGTATTTTAAGTTAGTACGCAAATCATGCATCAGTTATCACCGATAAACTGAATGGATATTTAGAGTTTACTGTGCTCAAAACTATTATTGCTATGTTGCAAAGCCAGACTGCATTTCTAAGAGAGAGAAAAGGGAAAAAGGGGTAAAAGGTACTTTTAACATGTGATGCTTATTTATCTGTTCGCAAAGCGTATTAAGATTTCTTCTCCAAGTTCATTTTTAGAAACATTTCAAATATACGATGGAAAGTTGCATAGTTATTTTGTTTTCCTGTTTTTCTACTATTTTTCCAATAATAGGTTTAATAGAATTCATCTCTCTCATTAGATGTATCATAACTAACCCTCTGTTCTATAATCTTCGCTTGACAAGTATAAAACTTATTCCAAATTGACTGCTGGCAAATTATCCACATTTTCAGATTAGTTTGACGACTGCTGACAACAAAGTTAGACAATCAATAGAATATGTTTTACCTCCTGGTCACACAAGTATGGATCTTCACATTCGCATAATTGTATTTCTTTCTTCTGCTTTTTGGACTTTACCTTTCAATTGATTTCATATATGACTCAAAAGCAAGAAATTATTTGATAAGTAATTATGGATCTATTTTGCTATCTTTATTTTTTACTTGACTTTCTAACTATATCAAAGAGTCATGAAACAGATTGAGTCTCCTCTATATATATCTCTTCCATTAGAATTTTGTAAGATCATTTGTAATTCCTGCTCTTTCCTTTCTAAGGAGAAGGACTGTGCATTTTCAACTGAATCATGAAATATTAATTTTACTTGTGTGAAGGACTGTGCATTTAAGGGCTATCTTTATTCTCAGATGTTCGAGCAGATTCTCCCTCGAGGACTATCAACAGGGCTTAAAAGGCCAAATTTTGTTCTAAAATTCAAAGCCCCCCATCATTATTTCGGACCAACAACAGCAACAATAACAACAACAAACCAGTACGATCGCACTCAGTGGGGAAAGGTTCTGACAAGGATCCATGGTATAACTGGCAAGACCGATGTCGTGTGACCTTACGGTCACGGACTTGGAACAAGGAAAATAGAGTTGGAAGAGGATGAAGAGAGGAAAAGAGTTAAAGGCTGTTGAAGAATGACTGGATGGAGTTTGGGTTCAAGAAAGCTTCCATTTATAGAAAGGCGGTAGCGTAATCGACGACGCAATCAATGCCTTTGGGAAACATATCGAAAGGCACAATCAATGAATTTTGGAAAACGGATCGGCGACAATATTATTGCTTTTGGGAAATAAACCGATGCTACATTGAATGCTTCTGGATAGACGAACCGATGGGACGTCTCAGTTATCACAAAATCTTACATCATAAGCATGATGTCATTACGAGAGGCTTGAGGAGATCGACGTCAAAATCATTTCTTATCATTTTAATCTAAGAAATACGGGGACTATCTGTATATGGTAAAAAACAGAGGGTCCGATTTTATGATCATTATGGCGCTTTGTGAGACCGCATCCTGAAGTCTAGAGGCCCGGCTCGAGGTTCGACCCCGAGGATTCTTAATGATCGACCTCGAGGTAGTGAAATCAAAGGCTATGATGGACAAACGGGAAGTTCCCAAGGCACGTGATTAAAGCTGACCAAGTCTATTAGGCTAGTTCAAGCCCGTACCGTGGCATTAAATGGTTGTACTAGCCTCAAATCCTTCTAATAAATGCATTTGTACTATGTTGGGATTCCTCCTCATATATAAAGGGGACTCTTGTCATTTTTTAACACACATGAATTGAACACACAACATTCAATACAAGAAGAAAGAACATTCTCTGCTCTTTAACTTAAACACATTCTCTCTTGATTCTATTATTTACATTTATTGCTTACATTTATTATGTTTCATTTATTGTTCTTCATTTACTGCCCATTATTGATCATAAAGAGCCTTCATCAAAGCTCTCAAAACTATTAGTCCTTCATCGGCTGCCCACAGCTTAGTACCGAGTTCGACCTCGAGGGCCCGTATAACCTAGCTGGAAGCCCCGATTCTCAACCACTCGGTTTGCCTAAACATATTGCTTTCAAGTTCTTATCTCATTTTTTAGTCTCACACTTAGCATCTACTACTTAACGACTAGCATAAAAATAAATCACGTATTTTTAGAACCACAAAATCAAATCTAATTGTAAATCACAAGCTTGTGATCCAAAATAAGCCTTAAAAATTATCTGGTTATTAATATTCTCATTAAGTATAAAATAAGAAATAAATTGCTTCTAAATATAGAAAAATAAATTTTTTGGGACATATTAAAAACGGAAAGAGTGACAGATTAATTGATACAAACGGAGTAACTAATAAAGTAATGAAAAAAGTAACTTCAAACATGTCATAATACAACAATAACAACAATAACAACAACAACAATAAAACCCAGTGTAATCTCACAAATGTGAATCAGGAAAGGTGGTATGAACGCAAACCTTACCCCTACCTTCAAGAAGGTAGAGATGCTATTTTTTGTAGACCCTTGGCTTAGGAAAGGTAAAAATAAGGGCAACAACAAGCACACCAATCAAAAATTGATGGGTTTTCAATATCTTAGCCTTATGTTTTGATGATCTAACAAACTTACTGTCAAGAATCAAATAGGGAACCTGACACACTTGGTATACATTGCTAATCAACGGACTCCAACTAGGACTCTAGACAATGTGAACTGCTGCAACTATAGAAGACAAAGAAGTAACTCAGGGACTTGATCCATTGTGTGTCCCTGACAACAGTACGAAAGTCAACTACGTACAGCTGGAAAGTGTCTGCCACAGAAATAGTGCACACAGTGCAGCACAGTTCTGCAGTCACTTGTCTTTTGACCTACCAAGTGCTTACATCATTGTCATAAAAGTTGCATTAACAAGAATATTACAAAAAAACATCACTTGAACACTTGAGAATTTTTTTCAAGCATTCAAGCCTTCTAAGACAGCGAATTTAATTCTCAAGAGCCTCAAGAACAAAGTAAAACGCTACTACGGACCAGTTCCTAAATCGAGTATTTTGTTGTCCTTAGTTGAGTTATAACTTTGTAATTGTTCATCATTGTAATTCCTAAATTGCTTAGCTAGAAGCGTTTCTTAGGAACCCTTTTGTAAAACCATAAACCCGTTGTATTTGTGTCGTGACTAGAGTTAGTCATGAGTTGAAGTCTTTGTAATAGGTGTATTGCAAAGTGTCTTGTAATAGGTGTATTACGAATTAGTGAGGGATTAAGAGTTTAATTCCTAGATTGCATAGGTTGTAATCTAAAAGTTGCTCATAGTGAAGTTGAAATCCTACCAGTGTAGGTCATGATTTTTTATCCCCTTGAGCAGGGATTTTTTCACGTAAAACTCCCTGTCTTATTTACTTACTATTTTATTAGTATTCTCAGTGGAAACTCATAGAGGATTTGGCACTCTATAGTTTAGTGGACTCATATAAACTATTAATTGGTATCAGAGCGGGTTCCTCCTATCAGGCTAACACCTAGGAAGGATCCTTATGGCTGCTCCACCAAATTTTGAAGAAGGTCAATCTATGTATAGACTACCCAGGTTCAATGGGCAATAATATGGGTGGTAGAAAACAAGAATGTATGATTTTATCATGGCTGAAGATTTTGAGTTGTGGGATGTCATATGTGATGGTCCTTATTTCCCAATGAATAACGTCGGAGATCTTCCATTGACGATGCCAAAGACCAGAAAAGAATACACTGATGCAGATAGGAAAGTTGTGGAGAAAAATTTTCATGCCAAGAAAATTTTAGTATGTGGAATAGGACCTCATTAATACAATAGGATCTCAGCTTGTGAAACTACCAAGGAGATATGGGAAGCTTTGCAGATAGCACATGAGGGAACCACTCAAGTAAAGCAATCTAATATTGATATGCTCACCACCGAGTATAAACTCTTTAGGATGAAAGACGATGAATCTATTCAAGATATGCACACAAGATCCACTTCCATCATAAATGAGCTACACTCACTTGGTGAAATCATTCCCAGGAACAAGCTCGTAAGGAAGAGATCGAGTGACAATGTGGTGAAGCAGGCTCTTGCAGCATGGGGAGACTCCTCTAGTGAGTCTGAAGAAGAAACTGATGTAGATGACAGTTCCATGATGGTAGTTGAAAGTGAAGAAAATGAATATGATTCAATAATTGCTTTGATGGCCCAATCAGATGATGATGAGGATGATGACAATAGTGAGGTAAACTTCAGGGATGTTCAGAGAAATCTGAAATCCTACTCCCCTAAGAAACTTATGTCTTTAGCTAGTGTATTGATTGATGTCTATCATAGTCTTGTGGAGGATAAAGATGTTTTTACCTTAGAGCTAGGAGAAGCTGGACAAACTAGAGATCATCTGGTAGTGTGTGTAGTTGATCTGAAGGAAACCATAAGTGATTTGGAGAAAGAAAAAACTGTTTTAACTAAAAAAATTGCTAGCATAGAATATGAAAGAGATGATTTAGTGGTTGTAGCTATTGACTATAAGGAAACCATTGAGAATTTTAGTAAAGAAAAAGAGGCCTTAGTGAAGAGAGTGACTGAAATTGAGGAGAAGAGAGATGATCTTTTGATAGTGATCGCAGACATAAGGGAAAATATAGAGGGACTAGGAATTGAGTCTAGACCTGGAAATTCTGGAAAAGGAAAAGAGGTAGCCAGTGAGGCACACGTTAGGCTTGAAAACGAGTTGAAACCTGTGAAAACTAGCTTGTGTGTTGAAACTGAGAAAAACAAGCATCTCGAAACTGAACTGGAAAGAGTAAAAAATGATTTTGAAAAGTCCCTCAAGTAGACCTGGTCCTCGAAAGCTATCACTGCCATGTATGTTAATAATGGTGGAAACAGGCAGGGAATAAGGTTTCAAAGGGAGAAAACCCCTTACAAACCCCATAGAAAATATGTTGCTATACCGGATAACTGACTGTGTACCCACTGTGGGAACAATGGGCATTTCAAGGAAAATTGCCAAGCCAGGGTCCAGTCTATTCAGAAAAATAAAGTGTTTGCTGAAAATGTAACTACTAAAAAGGGACCAGGTGCCACCCATAAAAAATGCATGTTACCTGCATGGACTAAGAGAGCTCTTATTCATCCTCTTGCTTACTACAAGGGACCCAAACTTGTTTGGGTTCCTAAAACTAACTCTTAATTTCCTTGTGCAGGGAACAATAAAAGGAAGCAATCAGCAATGGTTCATGGATAATGGATGTTCAAAGCACATGACTGGGAACACCATGGACTTTCTTTCACTAAAAGCCCTGCAAGGAGGAAGTGTATTCTTTGGCAATGGAAAAAAGGGGTACATTCTCGGAGTTGGAAAAGTCAGGAAATCACTTAGTCACTCTATTGAGAATGTGTACTATGCCAACGGTCTTAAGTATAGTCTCTTGAGTGTTTCTCAGATCTGTGATAAAGGAAACAAGGTGGAGTTCTTGTCCAAGATATGTACAGTTACTAATCTGGTAACTGGTGAAGTGGTACTTGTGGCCAAGAGATACAAAAACATTTATGTTGCTGATTTCGAGTCTATACAAAGTAGTGATCTGAGTTGTCTGAAAGTTGTTGATGATGATGTTGAACTCTAGCACAGAAGACTAGCGCACGCAAGCTTCTCTCTTCTAAATAAACTAATTCAAAAGGACCTGGTCCGTGGTCTGCCCATGTCAAAGTTCAAAGTACAGAAAGTCTGTGATGCATGTGCTAGAGGGAAGCATGTGAAGTCCTCGTTTAAGTCTAAAAAGGATGTCAGCACCTCAAAGCGACTCGATCTTCTTCATATGGATTTTTGTGGCCCTATGAGAATGCAAAACAGGGGAGAAAAAAGGTACATCTTTGTGATAGTAGACGACTACTCCAAATTCACATGGACTCTATTTCTTAGAACAAAAGATAAAACCTTTGAGGTATTTGTGGCCATTGTGAAGAAAATACAGGTGAAGATAGAGTCTAGAGTTGCATGTATTAGATCAGATCATAGAACAGAATTTGACAATGCCAAATTTGATGAGTTTTGTAATGAAAATGGCATTACCCACAACTTTTCAGCCCCAAGAACTCCCCAGCAAAATGGAGTTGTGGAAAGGAAGAATAGAACTCTTGAGGAAATGGCAAGAACAATATTGATCGACAGTGGGATTGCAAAGAACTTCTGGGCTGAAGCTGTCAACACTGTCTGCTACTTGGTGAACATGTGCATAATCAGATCTCTCCTGAACAAAACCCCATATGAGTTGCTGAACGGAAGGAAACCCAAGCTGACTCACATAAGAATATTTGGGTGCAAATGCTATGTTCTCAACAATGGAAAGGATCAGCTTGGTAAATTTGATGCCAAGAGTGTTGAAGGAATCTTTTTGGGGTATTCTTCTCAAAGTAAAGCTTACAGGATATACAACAAGCGGACTCAATGTGTTGAGGAAATTGTTCATGCAATCTTTGATGAATCTTATCCCTCTTATGAGAAAAGCAACAAGGATGATCAAGATGGGGAGCTTTTACTGGTTCTAGGTGAAGTCATTGACATGACAAATGGAAACGCAGACATGATGAGCCAAGTGAAGGAGCCAAGTGGAAACAATGTTGCCTCTTCCTCAAGAGAACCAGGCACCTCAATTACAACCACTAAAGCTGAAGAAATAATGGTTGATGCAGTGCAAGGTACTCCACGAGTACCTGAGAGAAGAACACAAGGGAACCAGTTAGATATACCCAGCTCCTCCACAAATGAGCCTCATATACCCAACTGGAAACACAAAAGCTCTCATCCTCTTGACAACATAATTACCCCTCTAGATTCTGGAGTGTAAACCAGATCAAAACCCAGAAATTCACTTGCCTTCTCAGCATTTCTTTCCCAAATAGAACCCAAAAATATCAAGGAAGCCTTGAAGGATGTAGACTGGATTACAGCCATGCAATATGAGTTGCATCAGTTTGAAAGGATCAATGTATGGCACGTGGTACCTAGACCCTCAAATCGAACCATTATAGGAACCAGGTGGGTATTTAGGAATAAGCTTGATGAACATGGAAACACTATAAGAAACAAGGCTAGGCTAGTGGTTCAAGGTTACAATCAGGAGGAAGGAATTGATTATGATGAGACATTTTCTCCGGTTGCTCGCATGGAAGCTATTAGAATCCTAGTCATTTATTCATCTCATATGAAATTCACTCTGTTCCAAATTGATGTCAAAAGTGCATTTTTGAATGGACTTCTTAAGGAAGAAGCCTATGTAAAGCAACCTCCAGGGTTTGAATGTCATGAACACCCTGAATATGTGTTTAAACTGGACAAAGCACTGTATGGGTTGAAGCAGGCTCCTCGAGCTTGGTATGAAAGACTGTCAAAGTTCCTTTTAGAAAATAGTTTTACAAGAGGGAAAATTGACAACACCATGTTCCTGAAGAAACGGGGAATGAACCTGCTCATTATTTAGGTATATGTTGATGATATCATTTTTGGGGCAACAACTGATTTACTGTGTAAAGAATTTGCAAAACTCATGGGAAGTGGGTTTGAAATGAGCATGATGGGGGAGCTAAATTTCTTCTTGGGTCTTCAAGTGAAGCAGTCCACAAAGGGTACATTCATTTGTTAGCAAAAATACATCAAGGAGCTCTTGAAGAGGTTTGATATGGAAGCATCAAAAGTGATAGACACTCCCATTGCAACGACCACTCGACTGGATATGGATGAGGCTGGATCTCTTGTGAATCAAATTATGTATAGAGGCATTATTGGGTCTCTTCTCTATCTCACTGCCAGTAGACCTGATATTATCATCAGTGTGTGGCTATGTGCAAGGTTTCAGTCAAATCCCAAGGAATCTCATCTGAAGGTTGCCAAAAGTATTTTGAGATATCTTAAGAAAACACAGGACCTGGTCCTGTATTACCCCTCAAGTGACAATTTTAATCTTATTGGATATGCTAATGCTGATTATGCAGGTTATCTTATGGACAGGAAAAGTACTTCTGAAATGGCTCACTTTCTAGGATCATATCTCATCTCTTGGGGCACAAGAAAGCAAAACTCAGTAGCTCTTTCAGCAGCTAAAGCAGAATATGTAGATGTAGCCTTCTATTGTGCTCAGCTCCTATGGATCAAACAACAATTGGAGGATTTTGGGGTATTTACTGATTATGTGCCTCTTCTATGTGATAACACCAGTGCACTCAACATAGCCAAGAATCCAGTTCAACACAAAAGAACCAAGCACATTGATGTGAGACATCATTTTCTAAGGGACAATGTGGAGAAAGGGCTTATCTATATGAAGTTCTGCAGTACAGAAGACCAAATTGCAGTTATCTTCACCAAAGCATTGAGTAGGGAACATTTTGAAAGCAATAGGGTGAAGCTGGGGCTATTGAAGCCTAATTGAGAACATGTTTCCCATCAGTTGGCTATGAAAATCACCTTCAGGTAAAATTAGCTAAAGTGTTTTTTGGCCAAGTCTAACTTACTTCAATATCGTTGCAGGTAAACACGCATGATGATTATAGAAGTTGTAGATGCATTGCATGGGTAATGGAAGAGGATTGAAATTTTCAAAGACAGGTCAAGAACCTAGTTCTTTTACCAAAGGTTAGTAGTCATGTGCATTCTTTAATACACGTCTTGTAAAGGTACAAATATCAACTTCCATGTCATCCACCATTTCAGACTCTGTTGTCACGTCTTTTCATTTCAAATCCTTTCCATCTCCCTCTGAAATGTTGCATCTCCCCAAGCACTACCGCCGTTTCAGAACCGGTTCCTATCTCTCTCCTAATAATTATCTTCTCTCTTTTAAAAACCATCTCTTCTCTTCACTAATCATACTCCCTCATTAGACCCTCTCCAAAGATTCTCAACTTTATCTCTTTAATGGCTGACAATCTCCCCAAAATCCCCTCTCCGATCATCACTAACCTAGAGAGAACCCTTGAGTCCTCCGTCCTCGATGAATCCTCTATCACCATCCCTGTCCTAACCACTGAAACCACCTCTAACCCAGATTTCCCTTCACTCTCTAGTTCTAAGGCGACTATCTCAAAAACCCCAAAAGTCGTTGATCCTTCATCTTTATCTTCTGAGATTTTCATTGACCAAGGGAAAAGTGGAGAACAGGGTAAAGGTCGTAAGGTTGTAGAGGTTTCTGGGGCTAGGGTTGATCAACCTTCCGCCATTGTTGCTTCGGATTCTGTGGTGGCCATGGAGCCTATCGAGGATGAAACTATCGCGACCATCTTAGTTGTATCTGCAGATGGAGTCTTGCATGAGATAATTTCTGGTGTACCCAAGTCTCAGAGGAATGAGACACATAGACTGGTGGGAGAAGGAGCCATAGTGCATGTTGAAGGCTCTGCACCAGCATAAATTATTGGGCCCTCTTGTGAGGGACCTGACCCCTATTCGAAGGAAACAGGTCAAGGTTCCTACTCCCAGGCCAGTTCTGCTCCTGCATCTTCTCCACACTTTGTTGTTGAGCCCTTGGACATTATAGTCCCTGAGATGAGGTCTAGCAATGAGGAAAATCAAGACAACATTGCCTTGATGCATTCATAGTCAAGCGAAGTGCAGTAATCACCTCTGAGTCTTCTACTAAGGACCTACTACTAGGTTGCAAGCAAAGGTAGCTTATGACTCTGCCCTTCAAAAGAGCAGAAAGAGAAGTAAGAAGAAAAGGAAGAGACTGGTGAAAATCAGTAAAGTACTGTATGATAAGGATGTTCCTATGGTGGAAGTTGAGGAGGAAACAACAGAGGAACCTAGTTCCTTGGTGAGAAGGTCCCAGAAGAAGAAGCAATCTGCTTCAGTGGAGAATGTTACAACCTCCAGTTCATAGTTGAAAAATGTTGTGAGTGAACCATGAGCTTCTGATGAGGATGTGTTGGTCAAGTCTAAGGGAAAAGCAAAATCAAGTGTTATGAAGTCTGGCAAGAGAAAGTTGGAACATGTTAAGGAACCTGTTTCTGCGAAAAAGGTGAGAAGCGAAACTAGTTCTGCTTCAGAACGATTGAGGCACCAAAAGGTCCTATTGGGTCGCACTTTTGACCCAGTAATTTCTGATATGGCTAGTATGAGACAAGTCATTGCAATGGTTGAGTTTAAATGGTGGGGCATCTATTCCAAATGGATGCACCCAAGGTGTATGAGAATAAGGTTCAAAGCTTCTACGTCGGCCTCTTTCCTGTTGATACCGACCACATTTATGCCTCAGTGAATGGGGTGGATATCGTGTTTGATGTGAGTCTGCTTAGGGATATTCTTAAAGTCCCTGCGGTTGATGTGTCTACTGTGAAAGATACGTGTAGATCAAACTTCCAAAATGTTGTGGTGAAGGATCATGCAAACCAGAAGGGGAACCAGCTTCACAAGAACACATTACTCCGTGTTTATCAGTTGCTCTTCGAGCTGGTGAACAAGGTTTTGTTACCCCGTGCTGAGAGGAGGTCTGTGTCTTCCAGGTCTGACCTGTATCTAATGGAGCAACTGGTGGATTTACAACTGTGAAGTTGCCTGCCATCATGATCGAACATATAAAGAAGGTAGCAACTTTCAACGATGACAATCATGGTCTTCCATATGGTTTCCTTCTTACGCAAGTGTTTAAGTTTTTCAAAGTTCCATTGGGACAAGGCAAAGTAGAGACCAAGAAGCAGACCTTCCCTCAAACAACTTTGGAAGAATGTGAGTGCATCGAGAAGAATGGGGGGGTTAGACAGTACATCGACAATCTCCCAGCTCATCAATGCTCAAAATAGTACAACTGAGGAAATTCGAAGGTTGAAGGCGAGGAACCCTATCCTGGAAGGTCAGCAGGCCCTATAGTCAAATGAGGAGGTGGTTCGTTTGACAAAAGAAAATGTTGATCTCAGGGCGCAAGTGGAGAACCTGAAAGTAGAACTGCTCAACGAGAAAAAGTCAGTGAATGCCAGAACAGACCTAGTTCTCCAAACCCTTGTTGCAACTTCCAAGCCCTCTACTCCTAGTGCCCCCTAAGTAACCCTTTCAGTGACCAGTTTCTGGATTTTCTTTTTTTGTTTTAATGACTTGGTAGTTGTGTTTGTTTCTTTTGTTTTGATGTGGATGGGATGTATCAGTACTGCTCCTGATTTCAACAGTCCAATCTTGCCTTTGCTTTATAAGCAAAGGCATATGTTTCTATATAAAAACTATCGTCTTTTGCTATCTAAATGCTTGTGCTCTCTGTTTCTCTTTTCTATCATGTTGTGTGTACATATGTGGCATAAGTTAGCTATGTTGGACTCCTTTATGATGATTGTCTGCTTGTGTATTTTTAATGATGCAAAAAGGGGGAAGTATAACTGAAACATGGATCTGATTAAGGGGGAAGCATAAAGTCAGGGAGAACTTGTGAAGTTACTGTTGCTTCATCTGGTTATTTCTGCTCTAAAAATATGTTATCAATGTCTAAGTGTTCCATCATCAAAAGGGGGAAATTGATGGGTTTTTAATGTCTTAGCCTTATGTTTTGATGATCTAACGAACTTACTGTCAAGAACCAGATAGGGAACCTGACACACTTGGTATACAATGCTAATCAATGGACTCCAGCTAGGACTCCAACTAATGTGAACTGCTGCAACTGTAGAAGACAGAGAACCAACTCAGGGACCTAATCCCTTGTGTGTCCCTGGCAGCAGTACGAAAGTCAACTGTGTACAGCTGAAAAGTGACTGCCATAGAAACAGTGCAGCACAGTTCTGCAGTAACTTGTCCTTTGACCTGCCAAGTGCTTACATCATTCAAGTGATGTTATCAAATGTGCATTAACAAGAATATTACAAAAATATCACTTGAACACTTGAGAATTCTCTTCAAGCATTCAAGCCTTATGAGACATCGAATTTAATTCTCAAGAGCCTCAAGAACAAAGTAAAACGCTACTATGGACTAGCTCCTAAATCAAGTATTTTGTTGTCCTTAGTTGAGTTGTAACTTTGTAATTGTTCTTCATTGTAATTCCTAAATTGCTTAGCTAGAAGCGTTGCTTAGGAACCCCTTCGTAAAACCATAAACCCGTTGTGTTTGTGTTGTGACTAGAGTTAGTCATGAGTTGAAGTCTTTGTAATAGGTGTATTGCAAAGTGGCTTGTAATAGGTGTATTATGAGTTAGTGAGGGATTAAGAGTTTAATTCTTAGATTGCATAGGTTGTAATCTAAAAGTTGCTCATAGTGAAGTTGAAATCCTACCAGTGTAGGTCGTGGTTTTTTATCCCCTTGAGCAGGAATTTTTCCACGTAAAACTCCATGTCTTATTTACTTACTGTTTTATTAGTATTCTCAGTAGAAACTTATAAAGGACCTGGTACTCTATAGTTTGGTTAACTCATATAAACTATCAAAAATCGTAGCAAAAATACAAAATTAACACTAGGTACTACATTAGAAAGCTAAAAACAAAGCAAAAACAAGTAATAACAGAAGTCAAGGAATATGAAAATACACAAATGACACTAAGTCATGTTTTAAAGCTAGTATTACAAATAAGGACAACGCTCGGCTACCTCCTTTACCTTTATTCTCTACCTCCATACCTTCCTATCCATGGTCATTTCCTCAGTAAGCTGGAGCAACGCCATATCTTGCCCAATCACCTCTTCCCAACACTTCTTCAGTCCACCTCTACCTCTCCTTAGGCCCTACAGGGACAACCTCTCACACCTCATTACTGGTGCATTGTGCATCTCCTCTTCACATGCCCGAACCATCTAAGTCTCGCCTCCCGCATCTTGTCCTCCACAGGGGCCATGCCCACCTTGTCCCGAATAATTTCATTTCTAATTCTATCTAACCTAGTATGCCCCGACATCTATCTCAACATCCTTGTTTCAACCACCTTCATCTTTCGGACATGGTAGTTCTTGACTCGCCAACACTCCACATCATATAACATAGTTGGTATGACCACCGCTCTATATGACTTAATTTTAAATTTTGGTGGCATATTCTTATCACACAAAATACCAAAAGTGAGCCTCTATTCATCCACCCTGCTCAAATACGATGTGTAACATCCTCGTTGATCTCTATATTCCCTTCTATAACTGACCCAGGGTATTTAAAACTTTCTCTCCTAGGAATGACTTGAGAATCAAGCCTCACGTCTTTGTCCACTACCTGAGTCGCACCATTGAACTTGCACTCCAAGTATTCTGTCTTGGTCCTGCTCAACTTGAAACCTTTAGACTTCAGGGTCTGTCTCCAAAACTTTAACCTCTCATTAACACCACCTCGTGTCTCGTCAATCAGTATAATAACATCTGCAAATTCCATCGAGATCTCGTCTGCACCGATCGCTCTCCCCATGCTCATCTTACGCATAGCCCCCTCAACCTCCTCGACTCTTATACGCCTATAATACCCAAAGTTCCGACGACTCTCGGAGTGCTCTAATTCACCTAGCTCGATGTTCCTATCCCCCTCTTCGTTCAAGAGTTTATACAAGTAAGTCTGCCATCTTCGTCGAATAAACGAGGGATGTAAACAAGTATCATAATGTGAATTAGTGGAGCTGGTGAATTCCGAGTTTTGAA